AACTAGGGTGCCAACACAGGTGTGCAAAAGAGGCTTGCACCCTTCCTGCTCCTCAATAGGACGCCAGAGCACCACACGGATGTCTGCTCCCTTCTTGAGAGAAAGAGGGGTGGACAAAAACCAGGGAGCTCAAAGACAGGGCTTTTTTTGTAGAAAAAGCCCAGCAGGAACTCATTAGCATAATAGTCCACACCCAACAGCAGAAACTCATTAGCCTATCAGGCCACACCCCCATGCCTTCCCTTGACTTGCCCAGGTGCCCCCCGGCTGCGGGGAGCCCGGACAAGCCGGCCCTTGGACAGGCCGGGGGAGGCACGGGGAGGCATTTAAATGCCTCCCTGATCCTTCCAGCCCCCCCGGTCCGAGTAGCTTGGAGTCGCCAGGGGGCGGGGTCGCTCTCCAGGCCTTCCCTCTGTAGCCACGCGCACAGAGGTTTTGGCTGTAGTGGGCGTGGCCAACTCTGAAGCCAGCCGGAACTCCGTTCCTGTGTGTTCCTGCCCAAAAATAGCCCTGCTCACAGATATGGGTGGCAGCTGACAGGTCCTGTTTTAAACTGCATGCCTGGCTGTGTCCAAGTCCTGCATCACTGACAGAAAGACTGAACTGGTGTCTTCCTGAGCATGCCTGCGAGCATCATGAGTGTACCCTATTCCCTCCTGTCCCCGTCCTTCCTCTGAGAGCTCATTCATACCTCTATGCGCAAATCCCCTAAATCGTATGACAACTGGGCATGACCAAGTGAAGCATAATACAGGAACAACAACATGAAATAGGAAGGAACCTTTCAGATGGGGAGAAGCCGGGAGTGAAGTCAACTGTGTTCCAGATTTTTACTTGGTCTCAATTTCTGCAATCTGAATCCTATCACGCTGCTTATTGGATGTCCCATCCTACTGACTGCATTGACATACACTGTGCAATCTGCCTTGAGTCTCACTAAGAGAGATTATAAAAAATGTAAAGAAATAAAATCCAAGAAAAAATAATCTTGAGGACAGTTTGCAGCATTGCTGCATGTTCTTCTGTTAGCCTCTAACCAAGTGACCACTTGGCTGGGTACTAGGGATGGGCACAAACTGAATTATGAACTGAAGTTCATCACTAAACAGGTCCGGTTCATGGTTCACGAACCTCGGTTCCTGCCATCCCACCCTCACAAGCCCCACAAACCTCCCATAAACCAACAAGGTGGATTTGTGTGTTTCACGTCGGCAGACACACTAGTGGCAGGGCTTGGAGAAGACATTTAAAGACAGAATCTCGGAGAATCTGCTGGGCTTGTTGTATGCCTGCCTTGATTTTTCCCCACCACTGGAAATAATTGAGAATAGGAGCACCCTCTTTGGGTGCCTACAGAATTGGACCCGATGGTCCAATCTTTTTGAAACTTGGGGGTTCTTTCAGGGGGAGCCTCCAGCAGCTACACTGGAAATTTGGTGCCTTTACCTCAAACCCCCTTCCCCCACCCCACTGAATATATCCTAGGAGATTTGACATTGACTATAATGGCCCCATAGGGTATAAAATTCCCGAAATTTACCTGAATTCCAATACAATAGCAATACTGGAATTCAGGTTTTCAAGGCAATACCGAATTTTTAAGGGTTCAAAAACCCAAACCTGGAAAACACTGAATTTTTTTCCCTTTGCACATCCCTGGTCACAACCAGCTTATGGTGACCTCAGGTCCATGAGGTTTTCAAGGCAAGAGCTGAGCAGAGGTGGTTTGCCATTGCCTGCCTCTGCACAGTAATTCTGGTCTTCTTTGGTGATCTCCCATCCAAGTACTACAGCCAAACCTGGTTAGTTTCCGAACTCTGGGAGAGTTTCAAAAGTAGCATATTTTACTGTACACACCACAGAGTGAGTTAGTGGCAACCTCCTTATCAAAGACATTTTAAAGAATGAAGTTGTTGTTGTTCAGTCGCACAGTCGAGTCCGACTCTTCGCGACCCCATGGACCAGCTCCCGCCAGGCCCTCCTGTCTTCCGCCGTCCTCTGAAGTTGGCTCAAAAGAATGAAGTATTGGACAGTTATTAAGGGCGCTTTCACACATGCTAAATAATGCCATTTCAATCCACTTCAGCCACTGTTTGCAACTGGATTTTGCCATTTCACACAGTAAAATCCAGTTGCAAAGTGCACTGGAAGTGGATTGAAAATGCATTATTTAATGAGTGTGAAAGCGCCCTCAAGTAGTAGGATGACCGAATATTCTTTTTTAGCAATAAAATAAAGATCTGGATATGCTACATATGTATTTGGTTGCTAAAATTTCAAATTAATAACATAATGATTGCATTACAGAAAACAAAGCGTTATTTTGACAACTGATCATCATTTGAAGAGCCTGCTTAATTAAAGTTAGATTGTAGCACCATGATATTTCGCCCAGGATATGGGACAGAGACAGCACTGGTCACCCTCACAGACGACCTCCGGAGGCATCTGGATCGGGGCGGGACAGCAGTGCTGTTGTTGTTGGACCTGTCAGTGGCGGTCGACCATCAGCTACTGATCCACCGCCTTGCCAACACTGGGATTCAGGGGCTTGCCTTGCAATGGCTCATCTCCTTTCTCCAAGGTCGGGGACAAAGGGTGGCTCTCAGGGATCAGCTGTCCCAAAGGCACCTGCTGATCTACGGAGTGCCCCAACGGGCAGTGCTCTCCCTGATGTTATTTAACATCTATATGCACCCCCTTGCCCAGATTGCCCAGAGACACAGGCTGGGGTGTCAACAATAAGTGAATGACACCCCGCTATATCTGATGTTGGGCGACCAGTCCAACTCTACCCCGGAAGATCTGGACTGGGCGTTACAAGCTGTGACAGGTTGGCTTAGACTGAGCTGATTGAAATTGAATCCAATGAAGACGGAGGTCTGAGTCAAAGCAGACCGGGGGTAGGGATCCTACTACCAGACTTCGATGGGGTGCAGCTGGTGCCAGCGCCGAGGGTCAGGAGTTTGGGAGTGCTCCTGGATGCCTCCTTAATGATGGAGGCCCAGGTAGCAGCCACTGCCAAGACAGCCTTTTACCATCTTCGGCTGATTAGGCAGTTGGTTCCCTTCCTCGAACGCAATGATCTGGCAACAGTGATCCACACAATGGTCACCTTGAGACTGGACTACTGTTATGCTCTCTACATTGTCGCAAATCCGGAAGCTGCAGCTGGTACAAAATGCGGCAGCCAGGCTGTTGATGGGTCTCCCCATGCGGGAGCACATCCACCTGAGCTGAAGGCACTGCACTGGCTGCCGATAGCATACCGGATCTGCTTCAAGGTGCTGGTTTTGACCTTTAAAGCCCTATATGGTCTGGGGCCTGCCTACCTGAGGGACCGCCTTTCTCCGCATGTTCCCCAGAGAGCACTGAGGTCGGGGTCGCAAAACCGCTTGACCCTCCCAGGACCAAAAGACGCAAAACTGGTCTCTACCAGGGCCAGGGTCTTCTCTGTAGTGGCTCCATACTAGTGGAATGAGCTCCCAGAAGACATCAGGGCCCTGCAGGACTTCCTACAGTTTCGCGGGGCCTGCAAAACGGAGCTCTTCCACCAGGCCTTCGATTAGGAGCCGCTACCAATAACGCCTGAACTGGGGTAAGGCCCTCTGTGCCAACAGCAACAGCCTGTGATGTCAACAGCAACAGCCTCTGGCCATAATTTTTTGTTACATTTGCTACAGCATGGCCTATAGGGATCATGATGTATTGTTATCGCCGCTAGCACTTTAACTACACTTATTTGTTATTTGTCATGCATATGAGTTTTTATGATGTGCATTGTGTTTTAATGATTAGTGTTTTAATGCATTTTAACTTTTTAACGTAAGCCGCCCTGAGCCTGCCTCGGCAGGGAGGGCGGGATACAAATGGAATTAAATAAACAAATAAAATAAATAAATATTGGCTAGGACATGTTGTTAAAATTAGAACTGCTAAATAAATGGCGGTCTTCAACTCTTAGTTTCCTTCTGAAACACACCTCAAAGGTTTAGAACTCTATTTCAAAATGGCATGGATTGCAACTATCAAACAAGAAGTTATCTTTCTTGCATTAAGGATAAATTTTAGTAACTTAAGGTAGTTCTTAATTTTAACACACAGCTTTAACAACTTTAAACATCCTTTGTTTTAGGTGTAACAAAGGAAGAAAACCAAACATTTTATGCCACAATTTCAGTAATTACAATTCCTGCAGGCTTAACACCACCTTGAAGGAATACATACATTAAGCTGCCTTCTAGTAAGTTAGACCACTGGTCTGTCAAGGTCTGCTCTGACTAGCAGCTGCTCTCCAGGATCTGGAGATGTTTTGACATCACCTACTTCCTGATCCTTCTCACTGAAGATGCTGCTGGGGATTGAACTTGAGATATTCTACCCACAAACCAAGCGGTCTACCACTGAACAACATCTCCACATCAATTTTATACAAATTATGAATTAGATTACTGCTCTGGAATGTTCACCACTCGTTCACCACCACTGAAACCCTCAGCATCTGAGAAACTGGCAGTTCCATTGCTGGGATGCTGGCACAGGTGGGCAGTTGGGAAAAGAGAGCCGCCTTGGAAAGGAGGCTGAGTATGGTACCGGCCGAACCTTATGGCACAATAAATATGAGAGTGTGCAGGGGCAACAAGATTATTTTTTGTTTATGCTGTCACAGAATAATTTGGCTATCTCTCTGGAATGATTCTGGCAGCTTTCTATGGATGTGGTTAGTGGTAGAGGTAGAAAGTGCCTCCAAGCCAATTTATGGTGACCCCTTAGGGTTTTCAAGGCAAGAGTTGTTCAGAGATGGTTTGCCATTGCCTGTCTTTGCGTAGCAACCCTGGACCTCCTTGGTGGTCTCCTATCCAGCTACTAACCAGGGCTGACCCTGCTTAGCTTCCAAGAACTTCCAAGATCAGGATAACCTGGGCTATCCAGGTCAGGGTAGATGTGGTTAGGAAGGTGCAAATTTCAACCAAGGACCCAAGCATGCAATAGCCACTCACCTCAAACTGAATTAAGACCGTTCCACTTTCTAGCCCTTTCTTCAGTTGCTCCATTGACTCCTCTAGGGTCTCACCATATTCTGAACAGATAGGAAGATTGGGCTCTGGAAAAGCTTCATCCTCTGACTTGCTATCATTACATGGCCTGACAACTGGAAGACAGGGGAGGCAGATTCAGATCTTTATTATCAGTCAAAAACAGTAATGCTTAGATGAGATCAGGAATGAAGCGGTGTCCCATTAATAAAAACATTGTTGGTTTTTGTTAAAGTTGCTTTGAGCCTATTTAAGGAGAAAGACGCAAACTCCAACGCACTGAAGCAGGAAACTTCAGTTGTGCTCCACACCTGACATGATCCCACCACAGTGCCAGTATGACGAGCATAACAAGAGTTACCTTTCCGCCTGATCAGAAGCACAAGCTCTCTGGTATGCAGCTCTCTGCTGGCCTTTATAAACCTCACCACTTGGTCATGTGTATGTTCAGAGATGTCCCGGCCATTGATTAATACTATTTGATCTCCTTCATTCAGTTTTGGAATGCATTTATCAGACTGCCATAACACCAAAGAGAAGTACATCAGTATTATCAGATATCTGAATCAAAGAGAGAATTTAAGACTTCCGTGCATAGGGATTAATTTAATCATCGATCAGCACTGTTATCCATTATCTTGATGAACCTTTACTCTCTGCATCAAGAGGTGTGAACAAACAGAACATTATTCTAGTCCAGATGGCTTTACTGTTGATAGGGATCCATGAATCCAGAATTAGGTTTGAAGCCCATTCTGAACAGATAAAAACCCCTGTGATGGACCACATTTTGCAGACTGGAAACACTCCTGGACCCAGTTCTGCTGGCCCCAAAACCACTGGTGGACCAGGACTAGCTGAAGCTACACAATCCTAGAGCCTTCAGGATAACCACAAATCAGAGCACAGCAAAAATGCTACATGGGGCTGCCTGTGAAAAACAGCCAGAAACTTCAGCTGTTCCAAAGCAGGCATACAAAGGCTTTAAGTGGAACCCACCATGGGGATACAAACAATGCCAACAGTGGCTGATTTGCAAGGGCAACCAATTGGTTTCTTGGTTCAATTCAAAGTGCTGGTTTTGTCCCTCAAAGCCCTAAATGGTGTCGGACCTGGCCCGCTTCCACCCATGCAAGACAGCCTGTGCTCTTAGATCAGCTTCTGGTGCCAGGCTCTGCATTACACACAAGGAAGAGTCAGATTTGGGGAGGGGGTGTTGCCAGAGGCACTGGCTTTACTCTCGGGTAGCCCCAATAGCAGGGGCACCCCACTTTCTAACCCTAACCAGAAACCCACAAAACTCAGGCCACGGAAGACACTCCTGGTTCTGAAACACAGAGCAGGCCATAGCTCTAGAAACAGGGTCTCCATTTTCAGGTGGCAACAAGGCAACCCTCAAAGCAAACCTCCAGTCTTCTCGCCCACCTAGGAAGACATGCATATGAAACAATGGTAGTTTCACCAAGTAAAACATCTGCCTTTCTAAAGGCTATTCAGAGGCCACCTGGCAAACAGCCCTCCCGTCTCCAGTACTTCACCCAGCCCTTTTGTGTGATCCCATGTCTACGTGTGAATTCTTTGTCTCAATACTTGTCCTTCCTTGCTCCATCCCTCAGGATACTGAGATAAACCAATCAAACATTCAAATTATTAACGATCCTTCCTGATGCTAATCAGGGACCCATCTCCCATCTTTTGTCTGTATCTGGGAACCTATTCAACTGCCTTGGTAGAACCATCAGTGGACATAAAATCCATTCAGCTAGCCCCTGTAGTCATCCAGCACCTGGCTTAATCCCATCATATATAGACTCTGCCCCTCTGGAAGCTCATTGGTCACACCTGAATTATGCTCTGCCTGGTACAACACCTCCATGGACTCATTATTGGTCTAGAAAATCTATTGTTTTCACCAGAGACCAGCCCCCAAGGCCTCCCATTGGTCTGCATTGCTTTCCAATGTCTATATCCTTTAGAGCACATGACTTCAGATTGTGTGCCTCTGCCCTGATGCCAACCGGCAGTACCCCCAAACCCTTGGTTTGGGCCATAATCCCTTCTTCATGGACCTCTGCACATCTGGACAGGTAGTATTACCCCATAACTGACCCCTCTGTTTGCTATCAATCACCTCTGCTTTCTTAGTTCTGTATTGTGTGTTTGAATGCTTGATTATTGTTTGTATGCTAGAGAATAATTAGTAAAGAAATCAATATTTTAGATACACAGTCTCTGCGTTTATTTCTGAAACTGGGAAATCAAACTCCCATATACACAGGTTCTGATCCTATATTTAATGCCTACTGCCAATTAATATTCATATTTCCCCACATTTATTAAGAAATAAGGCCATTTGGCTAACAGGGGGTCCTGGGGGAGAGGGCCTTTTCAGATAGTGCCCTCATACTGTGGATCTCCCTGCCCTAGGAGCCTCATCAGGCCCACTTATTCTGGTCCTTCCGAAGGCTTGCTAACACTTTTGGGTTTTTTTTTTTAATTTAAGAGACTTTAATGCCTGCCTTTACTTGTTGATCTCATGTTGCTGTAATCTGCACTATCAATCCTTTTAATATTTTTATTTCTGATTGACTTTTTATTGCCCAGCAGTGAATAGTGGTTAGCATGTTAAACTAGAAACTGGGAGTGGCACCAAATTGAAAAAATGCTAAGTTCTGTTTCATTACTGTTACAGATTTCTGCTGGCTGCTGCTTTAGATTGTTGACTTTGTTACACATATTTTTCCCAATTTTAAGAAACTGCTATCAGAGGATGCCTTGAGTATCGCTTACACTAGGAAGGTAAATTCCCTACATGAATAAATTGTTGAAAAGCAGCAGCCATATCCATAATGCCAAGTGGTTTGGAACGTCTTTGCCATCATAGTAATATATTATTCAACAAGTGGAGAAGAGAGCTGATGACATGCTCACCTGAACACTCTGACAGACACGCAGATGCTGATGTTATGCATTTCAGTTGAGAAAATGCCAACTCAGAGCCAGTCCAGATGACCCACCCCAACTCCTAAACAGAGCCAGCAATGCAAAAACAAAAGGAAGGCCAGAAAGCAATACTTACAGGGGAACCTGGAATTATTCTGGACACGACAAGAGGCATCTTCTGATCAATGCCACCCTAAAACATTGTGTCAGAAAAAAAAACAGTGAATCTAAACAGACAGACAACACATGATTCAGTTGATTTTTTCCAAGCTATGTTCCAGGGAACAGTTTATTGGGGACTCAACCAATGCCTATTGTCCTTCAAAGAAGTTGGATACGGACCACTCAGGGGTTGCGTAACCAGAACATTCCCATAAACAATAAGACTCTGGCATGCTTATCAGGAACTCCACAACAAGAAGAAATCAGGATAGGCAGATGAACTTTTTTTGAAACACAGCTGAACCAAAATCTTTCCCTGCAATACAGAAGTACAAAAGGATACGATCTAATGTAGAGGTCCCCGACCTTTTTAAGCATGCAGGCACCTTTGAAAATATGATAGAGCTGGCAACTGCTGCCAAAGCAACCTTTTCAAAAATCTGCACAGCCAATCTAGTGGCCAACCAGAAGCTCTGGTGGGCAAACCCCACCACAACCACACCCACTTTCTAAGAGCACCTGGCAGGTGCCAGGAATGGTATTGGCAGGTGCCCACGGCAACACACTGGGGACCCCTGATATACTGAGGTAACTGTAAGGTCCAATAAGCTTGGCCAGGCTGCATGAGAGCTGAACGTACACTCTAGGACACCCCTGGAACCTTCCACAATGCACTGCAGCTCCTCAGCAGACAAGGTGGTACAGAAAGGGTCTTCTTAGGGTGGCAAGTTTGAAAATCACTGGTCTAACACATCAGTGCACAATGTGATCTTCTTAGTGCTGCAAGGAAACCATTGGTATGCCCTGGCAGCTCCAAGCCTGAAGCACACACTATTTTGCAGAACTGAAGCAGAATATGTAGTATGACTGGGAATATAATGATTTTTTCTTTCAGATTATTCATATTTCTCTGGTTTTATAGATTGTTCTCATAAATAAGATTTTATTAGGATGTAATGAAGGCCTATTAAATAGTAGGCCTTTCCCTTGTAGGTTAGAGTATCTTTCTAGCTGATGCTGGCAGACAAGAAAACAACATTCTTTTGGTATAGAAGATAGGTATAGAGTTCATGGAGTTTTTTAGTTGTTTAGGGTAAAACATGGCAGTGTATGGGTCAAAAGGGATTTTAGCTTCATATTGAAAAAAACACCTTTCTTTGGGTATGAAGAATCCTTGGCCAATATTATTCAGGTTAGGTTAAGTAAACATTTAAGATATTATGTAGGTACACCTTTCTACATATTTGACCAATGAGTGGACTATTACTCAAATGATGCACTGTCTTTTGTAACCAATTATGATCTCTGAATGTTATCTTCTTAACTATGTCACTCCAAGTATAAAATTTCATGTATTTCCTGATTGTGTTCAGAAAGCAGTCAATTTTTGATAGGCTAAGTTTGGCCTAACTGATCTCAGGTATTTCAACTGCAATTAAAATCAATGAACATTCCTCCTCATTTTGACTGGAAATCTATTTGTATAACAAATATTTCAAAACCCACAGGCTCATTGCATTTGCTTGCATTAACTTCTGCTGGTTACATCTTACAAAATGCAGATGTATAAACTATTCCATTCAATAAAGGGAATACCACAAATACCATATTGCTAAAAGCAGAGCCATGTTTGGGGGGAAATCAAAACACACCAAGAAATGTGCATGCTGCATTTTAACAGCTGTTACAATAGGAACATAAGAGAAGCCAATGTTGGATCAGGCCAATGGGCCATCCAGCCCAACACTCTGTCACTCCCCACATTTCATCCTCACATCAACCCTGTGGGGCAGCTTAGACAGTGACTGGACCAAGTTTAGTTGGTGAACTCTTTGACATACAAGGATTCAAATTCATGTCTCCCTTGCCCTAAACAGTGATTAACAATTGACCACACCACCTGTGAACCACTGTAGCACCCCAGCGTTACCACTTCTTGTTTTGACAACAGAGGAACAAGCAGGCAGGACAATCACCCATTTAACACAAAAGCAGCCTTTCTGAATTATTCTAACCAAGACAATTTTTTGAAGCTACAGCTGAAGATCAGGATTGCTTTCTCAGTGCCTTTTACCTTCAAATTAAATCCAAATTTCCCATCTTCATCGGGCAGGATGTGTATCAAAAACAAGTCTCCATCAATAATGTCATTCTGGAAGATATCAATAACAGGAATTTGGTTTACTAAACACTGCCTTCATGAGCTGCTTTGGAGAAAATCATCTCTGCATGTGGCAAGAGAGTAACATTCCACCTTCCCACACCACCCAGGGCATGTGCTACATTGACTGTGTAATCTGAGTCTAAAAATCTGGGGCTGTCCAAACAAACGCAGGATCCAAATATGACTCCCATCTGTGGATGGATTGACTTGGAGGCGGGATCAATGAGTCCAGTGAGTGGAGAGGGAGGGTACAATTTCATGTTCAGTCAGGAGTGCAGAGAAGAGTGTCTGAACCAGCCTTGTGCTTGTTTTTTAGGTGCTATGGCCACTGCTTAGCCATACTTTAACATTTAGAAAAAAATATGCAGCTTACTTTTTACCTCTTAAGGTCCCATCTAAAAGCCACTCCTGTTCATTTGTTATACTATTTTGTGAGCCTTTGTTAGATAAAGAAGCTGGCATGATGCCTGACAATTTCAGATGAAGGGAAAGCTGAAGTTTAAAAGATGTTCACGCATTCAAAAACGCTGGAGGAAAACCACCTAACATTTCTACAAGCAAGGAGTGGGACTGATTTTTCCCAATTCACCCTTCCCATGGCAGCCCAAAATGCTGCCCGAAATGCCACCTCATGGGGGATGGGGGACACTCAGGAACAGCTGGGGGGGGGGGGAATCGGATGTCTCCAACAAAAAGGGGGAATTAGCTAAAACTGTCCCCGCCCACAGAAATTCTAGGTGGGATCCAAGCCAGAATAGGAGATATTTGTGTCCTTCACTTCATCCATCATACCTTATCACAGTAGTATTGATTGGAATCCTCCACTGAAATTCCTTTTGTAATGTTATTTTTTTCTAAAGATTGCTTATCCTTTCCTTCTAAAGGATAAGAGCCTGAAGAGTTCCCAGTTCCATTGAGACTTTGGGGTGAGGAATTCTGTGTTGAATCATTTTCCAAAATGTTCCTGAATTAACAGAAAATGTAAAAGGGCAGTATTAATAGCCAGATTCAGCATAGAGTATATGCCAGAGCCTTTCAAGCCAAATTATTTTATGAGTGAGAGAGAAGAAATACTTTTGTCTGGTCTTCATTATCTTAAATTGTTCCATCTTATCTATTGTTCCATCATCTATTTTATATGCCAAAAAATCAAGAAGGCATATTTTGGTACCTTAAAGACTAACAGATGCACAAACTGACAGAAACCATGAACTTTCATAAAATACAACCCATGTTATCCATGTATGAAGTCAATTCTCAGTTATCAGATATGTATTCACACACACAGAGGACAAAAAATTTGAACAGTGGGGTGAAAGGGGTAAAGAGTTAATGCTGTACATAAATAAGCAGCAATTGAATACTGTATCAAATTAGATTTTTTTTTCAACTCAAGTTGTGTTTCCTGTGTTAAAGTACTTCCTGCATATTAACTCTTCACATTCCATTTATAATACCTGGGTAACACAAAGCCATTCTCTAGTGCAGGGGAATCACACAACAGCAAGGTTAAGGGGTACAGGGAGCAACCTTAAGGAGGTCTACTCAGAAGCAAGTCCCACTTATTCAATGGCGACTTACTTCCAGGAAAGTGCTTTTAGGATTGCACTGATTCTGTTTTATGGTGCCATTATTTAAAGCACTAAAAAGAAAGGCTGATTCAGAATTTTGGAAATGTTTAAATTGTTTGTGCAAGACCATTGACCAAGAATCACTACAAATTCTGCTTATTCTGGATGATCTGAAAAATGCAAGACTCTAAACAGGTTATTATAACAAACAGAAGAACTCACACTGGTGATTCTTGTTCTGATGATCTGCTGACAAAATAAATAAAGACAGTTAATACCTCAAACTGGTAATAGCTTTTTATAGCAGAGTTTCAGTACTTTTGCAAATGCAGAAAGGAAAAAGACCATTGGATACTTACTGTGAAGGGTCCTTCTCCTCTGAGGAAAGGAGGACCTCCTGAGGGTGATTCCCACCGTCCAATCAGGGAGGCAGGAACACTTTTTCCAACTTCCTGTCTCTTGCCTGTTGGAGTCACCCTCTTCAGTTAGACTATAATGTTAACTCCAGGAAAGAATGGGCAAGAACAGAGCAGTAACATAGGTAAGGAAAAACAGGTAAATAGTACTATTTAGACAAGAGTAACTAGTTTGGCGATGACTTTGGGAAGGACAAGATGTCCTCCTTTCCTCAGAGGAGAAGGACCCTTCACAGTAAGTATCCAATGGTCCATTCTCCCTTTGAGGCAGGGGACATCTTGAGGAACCTCCCAGAGCAGTGTCCTCAGTTTTGGTGTGGGTCATCATCACGTTCACTTGGGATGTGTTGCAGCACTCTTCTGCCGAAAGCAGCATCTGTTGAATTATAAGTTTTGATCTTGTAGTGTCTAATAAATGCAGAGAGATGACCAGGTTGCTGCTTTGTAAACTTCCTTGACTGTTGCCTGCCTTGCAAATGAGGCACTGTTGGTGGCATTCCTGGGAATCTTGTGGATCTTACAGGCCTCTACTAAGCACGCTCTGAGTGTTCTACTTACAGCTGACTTGGACAACCTTTCTCCTGTGTTAAGCGGAGATATGGACAATAACGCAGCAGTTTTCCTAAGGTGGTTGGTTAAACAAATATATGTCTTGAGAGTTCTGACATCAAGGACATGCCATGTCTTCTCCCTTTGATGCTTTGGGTTTGGGTAGAAGGAGGGAAGACATATTTCTTGAGCTCTATGGAAGGTAGAATTGACTTTGGGCATGAAGGTAGGATCTGGTCTCCTTGTAAAATATGCATAGCTCAGTTTAGCTGAAAGTGACCCTAGCTCAGAGACTCTTCTGGCAGATGTGATAGCCATAAGAAAAGGCGTCTTCATCCTCCACCATTTCAACAAACGGTGGCTTGGTAAGTGCCAAGAGAACTGTATGTAGCTGCCATGTGTGGAACCTGTGGTGGGTCTCTCAAAGCCATGCCTTGGAGGAAATGTCGTATGTGAGGATGTCGCAAAATGCTTGTGCCTTTGACTTGGGGCAGGATTGTAGCCAAGGCTGTGATCTGTCGTTTGAGAGTAGGAGCTTTTAGCCCTCTTGTGACTGCTTCTTGCAGGAACGCCAAGACTGAGTTAAGTGGTAGTTTCAGTGGGTCAACCTTTTTTTTTGCATCAGTGCACAAATGCCTTCCACAATGTGTTTGTATTATAAATTCTATTAGTTGATTGTCTCCTGGAAGCCAGGAGGGTCTCTGTGACATCAGCGTTGTACCCTAGGTGGAGGATGTTGCTTCTTTCAAGGCAGTCAAATTCAGCCTTCCTGGTTGTGGATGCCAGAAGGGTCCCTGATATAGTATGTCCGGTGATGATGGTAACCTCCACAGAGGTGGACAGAACAGAGTCAGTTTGGTGTAGTGGCTAAGAGCAGAATACTTTAATCTGGAGAACCGGGTTTGAGCCCCCGCGCCTTCACATGCAGCTGCTGGGTGACCTTGGGTCATTCAAAGTTCTCTGAAAGCTGTTTTCTCAAGAGCAGTCTTCGAAAGAGCTCTCTCAGCCCCACCTATCTCACAGGGTGTCTGATGCGGGGAGAGGAAGAGAAGGAGAATGTAAGCCGCTCTGAGACTCCGAGTGAAGGGCGAGGTATAAATCCAATCTCCTCCTCGTCCTCTTCTTTCTCTTCTTCTTCTAGAATGATGTCTGGTAGTTGTTCTTTGATTTTCCTGAGTACCTTGGAAGTGATGGGAATGGGTGGAAGGGGAATAGCAGGGTCTTTGGCCATGGAGAGGTGAGAGTTTACATTGCTTCTGCCCTGGGATGAAGGAATCTTGTGTAAAATCTGTTGAGTTAGTGATTTGTCAGGGATGCAAAGAGATCTATTTCCAGTAGGCCAAAGTGCCTGGTGATCTGTAGGAACAGATCCCTCTTGAGGGACATCTCTCACTCCTGAATCACTTGCCTGCTTGATTAGTTGAAGTCCCTGTTATGTGTTCTGCCCAAACTGACATCAGATTTTTTTCTCTGACCAGCATATTACCTATAGTGCCCCCTTCTGTACAGAGGACAATTTCAATCCCCCCTGTTCGTTTATCAACATTTTGGCTGATATGTTGTCCATCCTAACTAGGGTGTGAGAGTGAGCTACCTGAGGCTGGAAGTGTCTTAATGTGAGATCTATGGCCCTCAACTCCAAAATGTTGATGCTCAGTTTCATTTCTAGCTTAGATCACTGACCTTGAACTGGTTTGTTGTCCAGCATTGCCCCCATCAGATCAGCTGGCATCTGTCAAGATCTGTCTTATCTCTGACATCCAGTATGTCTTGCCTTGAAGTAAATTGGACATCTTTGTCTGCCATAGCAGGCTGATTTTGGTACCTGAACAGATAGGCCCTCCTTTCTCATGATTTAAAACTGGAAAGACCTTAAGAGTTGCTGTAATTGTTGCACATGTAGTTGTTCCAGTCAATTCAGTCTATGCATGGTATTAGTAGACCAAGGAGTTTGGTCAGGGTCATCAAGGACGTAGATCTGCTCATGAACATGAACTTGGACATTTCTCTGATTTTCCATGCTTTGTGGACCAGCCAAAATAAGCAATTGACTGCTGCATCAATGATGACTCCTAGGTCCTCTAACCATTGTACGGGGTTCAATGAGTTCTTCTACAGGTTTATGATGAAGCCGTGACTTGTAGACATTGAATGGTCATCTTTGTATCTGCTAATGGTTTGTCTCTGGATCGGGACCTGATCAGCAAGTCATCTAAATAAGGGTGTATGTGGAACCCCTGTTTTCTTAATTTGGCAATTGGATTGATTAAAACTCTGGAGAAGACTCTCAGAGCTGTTGAGAAACCAAACGGGTGTGCCTTGAATTGACAGTGGTCTTCCACGATGCATAAGTGGAAGTATCTCCAGTGCCTTGGAAGAATAGAATGTGCAACTATACCTCCATAAGATGCATGGATGTGAGGACTTCTCTTGGTAGTAGGGATTCTGCAATGGACTGGAATGTTTCCATCCTGAAATGTTTCCATTTGACGAACTTGTTGAGGAAGTTTAAAATCCAGGATACCCCCCAGTCCCTGTTCTTCTTTGGCACAGTAACTTTGCAGCACAGCAGCTTCAGCTGAACAAAACAGAGAAAAAAGTGGAGCAGGCAAACAAGAAAATTAAAGAGATAGACACCACAAGCAAGAAGTTGAAGAAAAGGATGGGAGATGTGGAAACAAAGCAAAATTGCCAAGATAATCGAGTTTTGCAGCTACAGATGGAAAAAGCTAACATGATTCTCAGGTTTCAGGGAGTTCCTGAAATGGATCGGGAAGACCTGAAGAGGATGCTAAGTGAGATAATCGCTCCAGGTTTAACAGCGGATGAACTTGTAAACGAAATGGAGTCAGCCTATAGGGCATACTCCAATTACATTAAAAAAATAGCCTACCTGGAGAAATAGTGGTCAGGTTTTCAAGAAGACAAACCAGAGATGTCATTTTAAAAGCAACATCAGCAACTCCACTGAAAATGGGAAATGTAACCATCAAAACCTTAAAGGACATTCCATTTGAAATTAGACAAAAGAGGAAAAATTACAAGGAATTAATTTATTTCCTTCAAACTAATGGGATATCGTACAGATGGGCGGTTCCGGAGGGTGTTATCTTTAAGATCAATGATAGAAGAGAGAAGATAGACTCCACTTTTAAAGCTAAAGAATTTTTGAGACGTCAGCTGGGGACAGATGAAGAGTCCAAAGAGGAAGAAACGAAGTCTAGTGACTCTGCTACTTCTGGAACGGAAGACGACTCTGTGGCAGAAAAGGGTGCAGGACCTGTCAGAGTGGTATACGATTTCAGAGACAGAAATCCGAAGTAAAGGCAGAAGGACTTGGAAAATGGCCTTTTGAAGCGAAGAACAAGAAGATGATCAGAGATTTCTCTCATAACAACTAATAAAATAACATATAAATAGTAAATTGTTATAAGCAAGAACTCTACAAGTATATTGTGATATTAACACTTATAGTACTAACATTTTTACTAACAGTGAAAAGATCGCCTCCTCTTGGGGTTTTAGTTTAGTGTGGTTTGCTTTCCTTTATCCTTAGTTGTAGTCCCTTCCCTAATATTTCTTTGTAGATTTTGTAGTATTTGCAAAATAAAAAATATCCCTCCGGGGATTTAAAAAACAAACAAACAAACAATGGGTTGGCTGTGGCCACCGAGGCAAGCTGACTGTGGACCTTGCCAGTTTCCCCAGCAGTCTCCCTTTTGCCCGGCATAAAGGACGGGTCAGCCTCTCCCCTGGATAGAATCTGTTGCTACTGTCCTTCTGTGCCGTAATCAGAGCGGCCAAAGAGTCTCGCTCTCTGTCGCTGCCACAAAATGGCTGCCGTTGCAGGAGTGAGCTTTGACAGCTGCCCTTTGCCGCTCCCTCAGAGACTGGGGGAGGGGAGGGGTTTAGGTTGAAGGAGGGCTTATTGGAGGGAGAAAGGATAGAAGAAACTTTTAGAGAGGAGTGAAGGACTGAAAAGTAAAAGTAAAAAGAGGCTTTAGCATAGAAGAAAGCCAAAGCTTATTCATTAGCTGCTTTCCCTATTGAAGCAGGAAAGAAAACTGAAGAGGGCGACTCTCACAGGCAAGAGACAGGAAGTTGAAAAAATTGTCCCTGCCTCCCTGATTGGATGGTAGGAATCCCCCTCAAGATGTCCTCCACCTCAGAGGGAGAACTGAGCAGCCACTATCCAATCCATGCCATTCCAAAAGCTTAAAAATACATAGGAAAGGGCAGCAATTTTCACCAATTCCCTGTTATGTTACAGCCGTAACACATACACCCCAATTTCTCCTGGGGGGTCAACAGCAAAGTTCCCTCTAAACTGTGCTAGGGGGTGCTGGCGCACAAAATTTTAGCCAGCAGCACAAGTTAAATGAACTGAGCCCACAAATGAACTGAGGCTCCCCACCCCTCCATTGGAAACAATGGAGGATGGGGGCACCTCCTTCTGGGGCCCTTAGAATTAGACCCCCTGGTCCAATCTTTTTGAAACTTGGGTTGTTGTTTTTTAATGAGAGGCACCAGCAGTTATGCTGCATATTTGGTGCCTGTACCTCAAACAACAGCCCCCTCTGAGCCCCAGATCACTTCTCCATCATACCCTAGTACCGAAGTACATTTAATGCAGACTGGATAAATAATGAGCCCACCATGACAAAATCATCCTGCCATTATGGCCATGTCTTTGTGTAATTCTGTGACTACTCAACTGTAAAGAAATTGGAATGGATTGGGCAAACTGTCATTCTTAGCTTCAGATTTTAAATATCTCTGGATTTTCAATTTTCACATTCCAACTCTGAATACAGATTTTTAACCCAGAGTCTACTATTTAAAACCTTGATAATATATACCTGTGGGAATACTACCACCTGCATACATAGATCAAAAGAACGTAAGAGAATCCAATGTTGGATCAGGCCAATGGCCCATCTAGTCCAACACTTTGTCACACAGTGGCCAAAAATAGCAGATGCCATCAGGAGGTCCAGCAATGGGGCCAGGACACTAGAAGCCCTCCCACTGTTGCCCCCCCCAACACCAAGAATACAGAGCATCCCTTGCCCCAGACTGAGAGTTCCTATCTATACCTTGTGGCTAATAGCCCCTGATGGACCTCTGCTCCATAGGCAGTGAATTCCGTGTGTTAATCACTCTTTGGGGGAAGAAGTACTTCCTTTTATCTGTTCTAACCCGACTGCTCAACAATTTCATTGAGTGCCCATGAGTTCTTGTATTGTGAGAAAGGTAGAAAAGTACTTCTTTCTCGACCTGCTCTGTCCCATGCAAAATCTTGTAAACCTTGATCATGTCACCCCTCAGCCGTCGTTTCTCCAAGCTAAAGAGCCCCAAGCGCTTTAACCTTTCTTCATAGGGAAAGTGTTTCAACCCTTTTATCATTCTAGTCGCCCTTTTCTGCACTTTTTCCAATGCTGTAATATCCTTTCTGAGGTGTGGTGACCAGAATTGCACATAATATTCCAAATGAGATCACACCATTGATTTATACAGGAGCATTATGATACTGGCTGATTTGTTTTCAATTCCATTCCTAATAATCCCCAGCATAGCGTTGGCCTTTTTTATTGCAATCGCATACTGTCTCAACATTTTCAGTAAGTTATCTACTATGACTCCAAGATCTCTCTCTTGGTCAGTCTCCGCCAGTTTGGACACCGCCAGTTTGGACCCTGTCAGTTTGGACCCATGTGTTTATAGTTAAGATTTTTGGCTCCAATGTGCATCACTTTGCACTTGGCCACACTGAACCCCATTTGCCACGTTGACGCCCACTCGCCCATCCTCTACAGATCCCTTTGGCATGCCTCACAAACCTCCCTAGTTCTCACCACCCTGAACAATTTCGTGTCATCTGCAAAGTTAGCCACTTCACTGCTTACTCCCAACTCCAAATCATTAATGAACAAAAGCATTGGACCGAGTACTGAGCCCTGCGGTACCCCACTGCTTACCACCCTCCACTGTGAAAATTGCCCATTTATACTCACTCTCTGTTTCCAATTAATTAGACAGTTTTTGATCCACAAGAGGACTTGTCCTTTTATCCCATGACTATTGAGCTTATTTAGGAGCCTTTGATGAGGAATTTTATCAAAAGCTTTCTGGAAGTCAAGGTAAACAAAACCTATTGGGTCCCCCCTTGTCCACATGTTTGTTCACCCCCTCAAAGAACACTAACAGGTTAGTGAGACAAAATCTTCCCTCACAGAACCCATACCGAGTCTGCCTCAATAGTTTTTGTTCAACAATGTGCCTACTAATTCTCTCCTTAATAACAGTTTCCACCAACTTACCCGGTATTTATATCAGACTGACTGGCCTGTAATTTCCCAGATCTCCTCTGGGACCCTTTTTAAAGATGGGAGTGACATTACCTTCCAGTCCTCAGGAATGGAGGCAGATTTTAAGGAAAGATTACATATTTTTGTCAGGAGACCCATAAGTTCACATTTGAGTTCTTTCAGAACTCTCGGATATATGCCATCCGGGCCTGGTGATTTCTCAGTTTTTAAATTGTCTATCAGTCGTAGGACCTTTTCTCTCGTCACCTCAATCTGAGTCAGGACTTTCAACACCCCTCCCAAAATCAGCGGTTCTGGAGTGGGCAAGCACTTCTCATCTTCCACAGTGAAGACAGAGGCAAAAATGCATTCAGCTTCTCAGCCACTTCCCTATCATCCTTCAGTACTCCTTTTACCCCTTGGTCATCCAAGGGCCCCACTGCCTCCCTGGTTGGTTTCCTGCTTCTAATGTATTTGAAGAAACTTTTATTGTTGGTCTTTATGTTTTTTGCTATATGCTCCTCATATTCCCTTTTTGCCTGCCTGATCAGTGACTTGCATTTTATTTGCCACAGCCTATGTTCCTTTTTATCAATCTTACTGAGACTAGCTTTCCACCGCTTAAAGGAAACCTTCTTACCTTTTACAGCTTCCATTACTTTGTTTGTTAAGCATGCAGGCCTGGTTTTGATACAACTAGCATTGTTTTTTCATGAATAATAAATTTAAGATCAAATATCATCTCTACCATATTCTTCAAAAAGGTTATATCAGTTAGGGATATAAATTAATTTCTGAACTAATGAAAAAGGTAGACAAAAGCCCCATTAATTATACTAACTATGATAACAAAAACAAACAAGAAATGAATAAATGTTAATTTTGCTGTGTTCCGCTTTAATTGCTATATATTTTACCTTAAACTGCCTGTGAAACAGGACACTCTCATCTGAAATTTGGCAGGGAATCTCTTAGATGAAGGGTATATCCCCTGAAAAGTCTATCCACATAGCATAGAACTGGAATGTTTTCCATTGGGATCAGACCATTTTCCATTGAAACCAATGATAAATTAAAATGAATGTTATTAATAAAAACAAAATGGGTGTAAAATAACAAGCACAAAAAATGAAGACTTTGGGGGGGGAAATGACCCATACCTAAGATATTTACAGCCTGCCCCTTCAATGTAAACATTCCTGTTGTGAACAAGTTCTATGATCAACAAGAAAACAGTTATCAAACTGTGCTTCAAAAAGCCTGTATCAATTAATTACCTTCTCCATGGGCTGCAGCCCTGGGACACCTCCGAATCACTGTCTTTAGAAGTCGGGGAAACCTTATAGGTGTAAAAAACATCTTCAGTTTCGGTTATATAAGCAATCTCATTTGCAAGATTATCTACAGATGAGTGTTGTGGTTTACGAATCTCATGACGTAGTCTAGGACTTCGCCTATTTAAAAAAAAAGATGTGGGATTCAGAAGTCAGTTATGATGGAACCATTGTTGAGAATTTTAAAACATGTGAAATCTACTATGTTACAACTGTTGTCCCATGGTTTCCTTTCATGCAATTAGCATTTCTCATAGCTCAGTTACTAAGTATGAGCCAAGAATTGAAGAGGAAACCATAAAATAATAGACAGAGCAAGTGTGCTGTGAGCAATACCTTTTCAGCAAAGGGGGAAGGAGAAAGAGAGATCTAACAGCCACTGGAGAACTTTTCGTTGGGTTAGCATCAAGGTCCCCCCAAGGTGTGCTAGCCTGTGCTAGCACACCAATTTCTGGACAGTCCAGTGCACAGATTTTCATCCCACTTAGCCACCACCTGCACTATAAAGGGTGCCCCCTCCTGGCAGCCTTTCCTCTGGCCAAGCAGCGTGAGCACTGCCACTACTGAGGCACTGCCACATGCCTGCCTTGCGAGATGGTTTGGTGCCATGCCACCCTGCCCAGGCCATGCTTGGCTCACTTTCTCCTGCAGTCCAGTTTAAGCTGGGCTGGTGAAGTGAGCCCCAGGAGCTCCGGTACCACATGGGGAACATTGCTCCCAGCAGCACAGAAGGTCCTGGGCTAGCTTTCTCCTGACCTGACCACAGGTCTGCCTCCTGCCCCTCAATGGCCTTCTTCTGGGAATGCAGCCTGGGGCTCCTGGAGGCCTCCCACCACCAGCACCATGGGGGGCTGTGAAGGGCCCCTCCCTCCCTTTCTTTCTTCTTTCTTTCACTCCTCTCTCCCTATTTGCTTTCTTTCTACCTCTCCCCTTCCTTCCTTCCTTCCTTCCACTCTTCTCTCCCCATCTATTTTCTTTCTTTCTTTCTTTTTATTTCATTCATTCATTCATTCATTCATTCAGTTTTTTTTTAGTGTAGGCTTGCTTACAACTTTAATCCTAGTAGGTCTTTTGGCTCACAAAGTAGAATTTTGGCTCAGGATACTCCGCAGTTTAGAGGGGACATTGGTTACCATCTCTCAGTTAGAGAATTCCTAGCAGCTTGGGGAGGGGAGGAACCTCAGTAAGGAATATTGCCACTGAATCCACCCACTGGCGCTGTCCTTTTCTCCAGGGATACTGATCTCTGTAAATCTGAAGACCAGTGGTCATTCCAGGTAATCCCCAGGTGCCACCTGGGGGTTGGCAACCCTTCCTTTTCCATCCTTGCCGCGTGGGGAGAGTGCTGCAGCAGCAGCAGCAAAGGCCATGCTGCCCACTGGGGTGTGAGAATGAGGCAAGGCCTCATTTTGGGGGAGGGACCCACCTTGCAGCAGCTGGAGCAGTCTCCCTTTGCTTTTCCATGGCCAGTCCCAGGAGAGATCTGCTCACAAATCAGAGGGAGTAGGGAAGTTGGGCAGTGGGACTCAGCTCACGGACACAGGGCCCACTGGAGTCCCCTTACTTGCGATGTATACAGAAAGCTGTTTGATGCATGAGGGGAAGAGCCCCCTCCATCTGGTACTACCCTGGAGATTGTCCTCCATGCCTGAGTGGGAGAGATTACCTTGGTACTAGCTGACCTCATCCTCTGAGGAGGAGGAGGAGAAAGCATGCAGTTGTCAAAAGATGGCACTTTTTTCTACACCTTTGCATCCCTTCCCCCTTTCATCTTATAAAAAGATTCGAGAATAAGTTTACCAGTTTGGAGTAACTGGAGGAGACCGAGATGGAAGACTTTTGGTCTCTAGGTGTTCAACAGATAACGATCTCCTCATCGTTGGATTCCAGATCATGCCGCCTATTACTTTTTTGCAGTACTGGTTATTAGAAGATCTGAAATGAAAGAAGGCAATGTGGACTAACTACACTGTGTACCGCAACATTTTGTTTCAAGGTCTCTTTCAGCGTACCAAATGCCTTCTCAGCTAGATGCACTTTTTTTTTTACAAGGTCATTCAAGACTCACAATGAAAGCTGCCTAGAGAACTGTCCTCTCCAACTACATACACACCCATCAAAAACCAAAGCAAAAAATGCAAGCCATTCTATAGCATCCTGTTTGTACTCACTTGCTGGGTCGCAGTTATTTAGTGCAAACTGTGAACGACAGAAACACCTGAATGAATTGTCTCATTTCCTCCCTAAGAACTCCACAAAGCTTTACAGTTTGTATAATTCACAACAATTAATTCCTAGAGACCAAAAACGGTAGCATTATTGTGTGGTTCAAAACCAGAGTACCCCTGCCAATCGTAAAAAGTAATAATAAGCTACAAAGGATAAGTGACAATTTAGCACTGCTGTCACTTTAACACCCTCAGAAATGGGCAACTGCCTTTGTTTACCAGCTGAGACAGGTTACTGCTAGTACCTTGCACATAATTCTCTCCCAGGTAGTCAAGCACATTGCACATGGAAGCAGCGCTGCTTCTGCACTGACAGCTCAATACCCTGGGCACGCCTAGTGGGATTTTTACATTCTGCCAGAACAGTAGGCTCCTAAGTTGTATCACAAACTGGTTCTGAAAGTCCCTTCGTTCTCAAAAGCAGTTAGTCGAGAGGTGCTTTGAAAGCAGCTATAATGCATGAAAACTCCTGGATGTAAAAATCTTCCAGGAAAAAAGGGGGAATCACAAATATTGTGATCCCAATGGAATACTTAGAAGAACTGTGGTCAAGGTCGGAGGCTAAATTATTCTTCCGTTTAATGGTTGCTGTTAAAATATTGGTCGCCCATTTCTGCAGGAGGAGAGAAGAGCCACAAATGAAGTCCGACATGAAAGGAAACGGGCTGAGCAATCCTTTCAGTATCTGTACTTAAGAGCTAGAGTCCAGTAGCACCCTAAAGACTAAAAAAAATTGTGGCAGAGTATGAGCTGTTGTGAGCCACTGCTCGCTTTTTCAGATACTCACGAAAACTCATATCCTGCCACGGATTTTGTTACAGGTGGGTAGAGCCATGTTGATCCGAAGCAGGAGAACAAAGTCTGAGCCTAGGGGCACCTTTAAGACCAACCAAGCTTTATTAAAGGTATTGGCTTGCGTGTGTCACTCTCGAAGGACTCTTGCTCTTTTCTCCTGCTACAGGCAGACTAACATGGCCACCCATCTTTTATTAAGATAAATTATTAAGAGGTATTAAGATGGGTTTGGATCCCTGGCATAAAGATCAGGCAGAATCTTGCCCAAGATCGTCTGAGACAAATTCTTGTTTTTGTCACTCATTTGTCCCTTTTGCTTTGGGTCGTGTCCCCCCCCCCGCCCCTTTCCACATGCATTTTGCTCCCTCTGGAACGAGTAGAGAGAGCAAAACACATTGGGGTGGGGGGTGGGGGGAACGGACACCCTGAAGCAACAGGAACACACAAGTGATGACAATCAGAACGCGGAAGAGCCTAATCATCTACCGGTTATTCTTTTGGTAAAGGAGCACAGCTGCAGTCTCTGTCCTCCCATTAAAAGTGCTTTAAGACAATGCTGGGCAGCCCGGAGGATTTTATTCCCGGTGTATGTCCAGCTCCACTGAGGCTCTTTTTGTGAGCAGCTTCAGGGGAACAGGAAGCAACAGTCATTATAAAACAAACACCTAAAAATGCATTACGGTTTGCATTCGAGATGGGAAACCCTCAAAAGGCATCTTACCTACTAAGCACATATAGCTAGGAAGGTAATTTGGACTTACGTCAGATTCAGAATAAGAACAAGAGCAAAATGCTCATCTTTAAAGTCAAACCCTAGAATGGTGCGATTTCCCTGGCACCAATTATTTAATAATGGCTCTGTCCTGAATCCCAGAATAACTAGAACTATAGTAGCTGTGTATTACCTTCACTAAAGGGCACGCGCTTGGCAACAGTCCCCTTTTGGAGCAAAAAGGAGCCAGGCTCCACTAGATTAGTCACTGAAACTAACTTAAATGACTGAAAACCCACCGGTTTTATCACTCCCCCCCACACACACACACCTAGTTTATTGATGCCAGTTAAAGAGTCACAGCAGCACGAGGACTCCACTGATCGGATGAGTCATCTTGTCCTTTCAGTGAGAAGTAAAAGCTCTCAGCATGACCCTATACTCCTGGCCCATTTTCAGCTCTGACAGTTCCACATGTCATAGGTGTAGGGCAGACAAGTCCCATGGATCCACTTCCCTGAAACATCTTAAAGCAAAGATACTTTCAGACAAAGCAGATGGGTCTGAACTAGAGACATTGTCCAAGTGTTTCCAGTCCTCACAATCCTAGATCTGTAGCATGCTTCAGCAACCAGTTTGGTGTAGTGGTTAAGTGTGCGGACTCTAATCTGGGAGAACCGGGTTTGATTCCCCACTCCTCCACTTGCAGCTGCTGGATGACTTTGGGCAAGCCACAGTTCTGTCAGAGCTGTTCTCTCATGAGCAGTTCTCTCAGAGCTCTCTCAGCCCCACCTACCTCACAGGGTGTCTGTTGTGGGGAGGGGGAGGGAAAGGAGTTTGTAAGCCGCTCTGAGACTCTGAATGAAGGGCGGGGTATAAATCCAATCGCCTCCTCCTCCTCCTTCTCCTCTTCTTCTTCTTCTTCTTCTTCTTCTTCAAGTGCATTGCATTTTGCATTTATTTGTATCCTGATTCTCTCCCCTCTCAGGATGCAAAGTGGCTTAGAACATCGTTCTCCCTTCCTCCATTCTTTCACAACAACCACCCTGTGAAGTAGGCCAGACTGGGCATTTGTAACGAGCCCCCATTCACCCAGCCATGCTCCCACAGCAGAAGGGGGGATTCAAACCCGGGCCACCCAGGGTCCTAAGCCCACCACTCTCTCTGCTATACCACAGTGACTCCTTGCTGTGCGCCAGAGCTGAGACTGACCTTATAGCTGACTTTCCAGGAATGCAACACACAAACACACACGGCACAACTATCTTCCAACTGGACAGTTCCTAGGCTTCTGATTGCAGTTCGAACAGCTCACAAAACAAATCACAAAGACATAGGACCAAATCAAAAGCTAACTCTTGCACATTTTTTGCCCTAAACTCTTCCTAAACGAATTTCTTCCCAAATAAGGCATGCACCTGGGTTTCACATTACTTTTCAGACGTTTTCAGTTCAGGAGCACCCACTCACTTTGTTGGGGTTCGAGGACCCGCCGTCCAATAATGAGAGAGGAGCTTCTTTTCATGAGGTAGCATCTTCTTTGCCTGGAAAAATGTGTGAAGCTCGACACAGGATTTCCAGAGGTTTTTGCACGCTCGGTAATTTAACATATTGAAGGCAATTATGTGTTCCCTGGATTCACACTATAATAAAAAATACACATCAAAACTGTTTTAACGAGCTGTTCAATTCTAATCATATGAAGTATCCTTTGGCATATGACCACTAAATTAAAATAAAACAAGAATAAATTAATCCTGCTCCATAGCGGCAGTTTGAGGGCACAATTAACTGCCTGGTGGCGCCATGCTCTCCTCCTCAGCATTGCTTGCTTGTAAGAAAGGAAGTTTAATTGCTTACTTGAAATGTTTAGAGCACACGGCATCGCCTTAGACTGGGCCCGTCAAGACCAGGTGCACTTTAAATCTCACAAGAGAACTCACACAGTAGCACTTGGTGACTCTCCCACAGTTATTTGTCCAGCATTTACTCCTGGGTGCTTTAAATGGCAGGTGAAGTATTTCATTCACTTGGGCATCTAGCAATTAATGGTGGGTTTGGGAAATTCGAGAGCCTATCTTGGACACAGACCTGACCTGGAGGGCCCAGGCCGGCCCAGTCTCCTCAGATCTCAGAAGCTAAGCCGGGTCAGCCCTGGTGAGTCCTTGGAGGGGAGGCCACCGAGGAGGTCCAGGGTCGCTACGCAGAGGTAGGCCAGTGGAACCCTACAGGATCGCCATAAGTCTGCTGCAATTTGTTGGCGCTTTCCACCACCATCCTGGACATGGAGGAAGAGCCTGAAATAATTACCTGGCATGTAAGCATTTTTGTTTTATGGAAATAACTTTTTATAATACAATGACAAAGCAAAACATGATGGAGAATGTACACCCAATGTCTCTGTTTACCCAGATTTGTTCTGCTAATTGAATATGCAAAAGTTACTGCACAAGATGTCCAGATATAATATAAAAATACATTTAACTGTAGCAATTTATGTTGTAAAATCCTAATTCATGGGTAGCCAAAGTAGTTAAGATCTTCTGTCTGTTGGTGTATGTGATAGAGAATGCTCTCTTTTCCAAGATACTGCAACATCAGCCTTTTAGCCCAAGTAGAACTCATAACGCCCAGCCCTCACGCCCTTCTGTAACACAACCCATACAGTGGGGACATACCCTAACAAGGCATTGGCACATGAAAACTGTAGAGCCCTTTCTAATATTATTTGTACACCAATTTTCCACTGAGACAAAGGCTTAAAAACATCCCTTGCTTTGAATAACACCTTTTGCTTCAAGATGAAGAAATCTTATTACAAGCCTGTGAGCTGGGGCAGTTAGAAGGACATGGAATTCCAGAAGTTACATTTTTAAAAGTACATTCTGTGTAGGCACCTGTTGGGCAGTGATACTCCTCCCAATGACAAACATCTTGTGGTCTTTCCCTCTCATGAGTAGAGTGGCTTCACTAAAAGACATCTTCAATGGGAAGGGACGGCTCAAAGGAAGAGCACATGCTTTGCACATAGAAGGTCCCAGTTTTATCCCCTGGAATCTCTACTTAAAGACCCTCAGGTAGGCAGCGTTCAGAAACACCTTTCTTGCTTGAGGCCCTAGAAAACTGTTAGCAATCAGACTAGGCAATACTCTAGACCGGTATCAGATGAACTGACAGTCTGGGTCAGAATAATTCAGCTTCAGACTTAGTCATGATATTCATAATCTGGGTCATGGTACAAGTTCTCAACTAGAATAAACGTAGGATACATCCATTGTACAAATTTCATACTGCAGTTCCATCTATTGCTGCAAGATGGCCTCATATTACCACTTGTTTGACACAGAAAACGCTACACTTGTAGCTAGTATAGCTACACATAAAGATGTCCACAGTTAAATTCAACCTTTATTTTGCTCCCCCCCCTTCCAATCATACCATATATATATTAGTAAGTTGCTAAGTATTTTCCCAGCTCTCCAAAACGTCTATGTAATTTTGGTGGTGGTGGAAAGTCAAATAACAGCTGACTTACGGTGACCCTGTGCTGTTTCCAAGGCAAGTGGTGTTCAGAGGTGGTTTGCCTTCTCCTGTCTCTGCATCATGGCCCTGGAATTCCTTGGAGGTCTCCCATTCAAATACTAGCCAGGGCTGGCCCTGCTTCGCTTCCAAGATCCCACAGGGCTCAGTTCTGGGCCCGGTTCTTTTCAACATCTTTATAAATTATCTGGATGATGGTGTGGAGGGGCTACTCATTAAATTTGCAAAAAACACCAAATTGGGGGGAGCAGCGAACACACCAGAAGGTATAGAATTCAACGAGATCTGAACACACTGGGAAAGTGGGTGGATGGGAACAAGATGCAATTTAACAAGGATAAACACTGAATTCTACAACTGGCTAACAAAAATGAGGAACATGCATACCGGATGGGGGACACACTTCTGGGTAGCAGTGTGCGTGAACAAGATCTTGGGGGTATGGGTGGACCGTAAGTTAAATATGACCAGCCAGTGTGATTTAGCGACAAAAAATGACTAATGCAGTCTTGGGGTGTATCAACAGAGGCATAACATCCAGATGGCAAGATGTCCTAGTCCCGCTGTTCACTGCATTGGTCAGGCCACACCTGGAGTATTGTGTGCAGTTCTGGAGGCCTCGCTTCAAAAAGGGTGTGGACAGAATGGAGCGGGTGCAGAGGAGAGCGGCGAGGATGATTGGGGGCCTGGAGACCAAGCCCTCTGAGGAAAGGCTGAGGGACTTGGGAACGTTCCGTCTGCAGAAGAGGAGATTGAGGGGGGACATGATCGCTCGCTTCAAGTATCTGAAGGGCTGTCACTTAGAGGAGGGCAGGGAGCTGTTCCTGTTGGCAGCAGAGGACAGGACTCGCAATTATGGGTTTAAATTAAGGGCAGGAAGGTCCCGGCTGGATATTAGGAAAAACTTTTTGACAGTAAGAGTTGTTCAACAGTGGAACCAGCTGCCCAGGGAGGTGGTGAGCTCCCCCTCACTGGCAGTCTTGAAGCAGCGGCTGGACAAACACTTGTCAGGGATGCTCTGGGCTGATCCTGCACTGAGCAAGGGGTTGGACTAGATGGGCTGTGATTCTACGATTCTATGAAACTGGGTGGTGATTGAAGAAGAAGAAGAGATTGGATTTCTACCCCGCCCTTCACTACCTGAAGGAGTCTCAGAGCGTCTTACAAACTCCTTTCCCTTCCCCTCCCCACAACAGACACCCTGGGAGGTAGGTGGGGCTGAGAGAGCTCTTTCCAGAACTGTCCTTGAGAGAACAGCTCTGAAAGAACTTGTGACTGACCCAAGGTCACACTAGCAGCTGCACGTGGAGGAATGGGGAATCAAACCCGGTTCTCCCAGATTAGAGTCTGTGCTCCTAACCCCTACACCCAACTGGCTCTCTGGATCAAAGGATCTTTTTTTCAAGAGTGGCACCACCACAGCCCCTTTCAGCCCCACTGGACAGACTCCTGATTCCAAGGATAGGTTGATGATGTCCACCAGGGCATCCCATATTCTCACACCACCGGCTTCCACCAGCCATGAGGAACACAGTACCAAGAGGCATGTGGCTGGACTAGCAGCACACCGCATCCTGTCAACATCGGCCTGGGAGAGCCAGCCGAAGTTACCAAATACTGAATCTTAAGACGGCCAAGGAGCCTCCACTTCACATACTGGATCAGCACTGCTGGTTAAGTCACAGGGGAGCAACAAGACTTTATTCGTGAAAAGGCCTGCAAGTGCCTCACAGATGATAGCTGGATTACCAACAATCTTGGTTCTCTCAGTGAGAGACATTTAGGATCTAATCACCCTGAACAATTGTGCTGGGCGAGAGCGAGCAGATACAATGGGGGCTGCATCAAATTGTCTTTTTGTAGCCTTCAGCACCACCTCATAGGCTTTCATAAATGTCCTATAAGGTGCTCTTGCAGTTTTGTCACGAGTGTGCTGCCAAACTTGTTCAAGTCATCTGAGTTCCCGCTTCATTCCCCTGCGTTCAGTAGTACACCAGGGTGATGACTGACGGAAAATAGTGAGCGTGGGGGGGGGGAGTGACTTCATCGATGGCATCTGAGAGACGGAGATTCCAATCCTCTATCTGCTCATCCAAGGAGATGCTGGAGGGCATCAGACCCTGCAGAGCATTCTGGAACCCAACTGGGTCCATTCGTCACTGTCGGTGAGCATAAATGAGCTCGCCGCCTAGAAGGGGGGGCACAACACCCAGTCGGGCCTTCATAGCCAAACGATCTGACCGTGGCTCATATCCCACTCCATTCCCATACCAAAGATTAAATCCCGTGTGTGGCCTGCCTGTTACGTGGGGTCTGATACAACCTGGGAATTCCTAGTGCTGCCATGGAAGACACCAGGACCAATGCCTGCACGGAGGCCGCAGCTTCATCTGCATGGATGCTGAAGTCCCCAAGGACTATTAGCCTTGGGAACTCCAAGGTCCAGCCAGCTACGGACTCCAGCAGGCTAAGCAGGCTGTCAGCTGGTGCGCTAGGCAGCTGGTACACCAGACATACAGCTAAACTCTCCTCAAGGCTAACATAATCAGTGCCAGTTATCTTTGGGATGGGGAGTGGCCCAAAGGAGAAATCCTCCCGAATCAGTATTGGAACCCCTCTCCCTGCCCCTCTGTTTGGGACTGATGGAGGACCAAGAACCCTGGGGGGGGGGGTTCCTTTCAAGGCAACTGTTTCACCCTCCCTAGCCCGGGTCTTGGTCATGCAAGCCAGGTCCACATTCTGAGCTGCAATGTAATCATGCAGCATGCTGGTCTTATTACTAATGGACCTGGCATTGGACAACACCAGTGTCAAAGAGGGGCCTGTATTCCTAGCCTAACGTGTAAGACTAAACTATTTGATTAAATTGCCAGGGGTCCAAGGAGTTTTGCTAGGAGGGATTTCATGATCACCTCCTTCAAAGCCATTGCAACAACCCTCTCCTTTAAGGAAGCACTCACAAGTTGCTTGACCCAGTCACAGGATTCCCTCTGGGTAGTTGGTTAAGCCTGGAAAGGTCAGGGGGTCAAGGCACTGACATGGGCCCAATCTGCATCTAGCATCTGCTCCATTTTGTACCACACCCACACTGGAGCAGAAAAAG